GGGTCCGAATCATTACACATGCTTACATTCAAATTGGCCACTTAGCATACCTTTTCAACAACCCCATGTGTTTATCATTACCCAGAACCCTCTAAACGGCCAAACATTATTCTAGCGCTCTAAATAGAACTGCAGTGTTTAGCTACAGTCTGTACTGGATAACCGATGCCCTGCTAATGATTTATAAATGCTCGTAATTAGCGAAGGAACACTGATGGGTCATGACTTTACAATCACAAAATGTCGCCAAGTCATTTAATTAGAAAACCAAGAGGGCTTGATCACAAACGTGCAAAGAAACAAAATGGGGAAGCAAAAGCAATTGAAGATAAGTACTTCTCGATCCAGCTTATCTAGAAAGATAAATGCTAAGTTGAGCAAAAAAGTGACCTCAGAAACTAGCAATCGTTTGACTGAAGGATAGGAATGAACGGGAAATGCTCGCTTGTCCCCCTCCAGGACAAAACAAAACTGAGCGTGGGTTCTCTGAAGGTGCCCATCTGTGGCCCAAAGCTTCAATAAAAAATATTCAGGATGATGTTTTTTGGAACGTCAACTCCACCAGATTCTAAGTGCAGCCCCTATGTAAGAAAAATCTGTTTGAAACAATGGAAGCATACGGGCATCATTACATTCTAGTAGCTGACAGAAAATGGAGATCCCATCTGAGATGTGGGAGCTTAATAAACACTATCAGTAAATGATCAAAGCTACTGGAGGAAAAAGACCAGAAACCTTCCTTTTCATCCTCTTTTTAAGCTGATAAAAAAAATAATAGGGATGGTGAAACATCACCGTTAAAGTATAATCATATACATTTCCTACAAGCTACACAAAATGTAGCTTCCCAAGATTCAAACTGCTAAATTTAAAGTGGATAAACACTGTAACACTACACTGTAGTGTTAGCTATGGTACAACTTACTAAAGAAAAGTAGATTATTACACTGGCATTACACAGATGGGTATTATCTTTCAGAAATACATAACCATCCAATTGTTTTTTCACAGCTGTATTTTTCTGGCAACAAAACAACAAGGGTTTCTTAATTAGAGTGACAGCATTAAAATTAACAGACACATTTACACTAATGGACAAAAAACACGGTTATTTATTTGAAAATGTTTTTAAAAAGACAGAAAAAAAGATTTAAAATGCTGGAATTCAAATTGAAAAGGTACAATTACATTACCATCTGAACTAATTCCCAAGAATAAATCAATTTCTGCTTCTATATATGATGTTTAATTATTGTTAATTACATGTAGTTTTGGATTTTGTTTTCCCTTAATAATAAAAACCTTCTTTTAAAAACTGCATGTTGTGTTCACTTGTGTTATCTTTTACTAATATTTAAATTTGTTTGATGATCTGAAACATTAAAGTGTGACAAACATGCAAAAAAATAAGAAATCAGGAAGGGGGCCAACACTTTTTCACACCACTGTATGTGTGCAATTCAAAATAACATCAAAACATTATTGCAGCATTTTGTCACACTAAAACACTACTCTTTGGAAAAGCTGTTAGAGACATCCTGAACTGCACAGTTACATGACACTTGAGAACAAACCAAAAATACAGCCAAAACAACAAAACTGAAACCTTCTACCACCGCAATATATTTTAAAACCCAAATCAAGCTGTATATATACTAGGGCTGTGCAATTAATCGCATGCGATTGTCATGCGCATCTCGTCAGTAAAGCCGGTTCCGTGATTGGTAGTAAATCTCCATCACCTGCTTTCAGATGGAGCGGCATTTAATACACAGAGCCGTAGTACACTGACAAGCTAGGCGATATCGCGTTCATAATTGAATGCGATT